CATTGTCTCTGCTTGTTAGCCTTGAAATCTACAGTCACTTCAAAGTCTGTGTGCAGTGCACTGTGCTATAGAATGAATGCATCAGGAGTTCTCTTCTCATTCTAGATTTATGACACAATGCCACTCGTGAGGCGTTTGCCCCTGCCTTTCCATAAGGCCTTCAAAAACATGTGTGATCTAGAAGCCTCAACTTTGGCAAAGGTGACCGAGCACAAGAAGACGCGTGTCCCAGGACAGCCAAGAGACCTCATTGACTGCTACCTCGATGAGATAGACAAGGTACCGCAGACATTTGTAAGGAAGCAAGGATTAGCAGAAAATTAGGGAAAAGTAAGGAGGGTGAGTTAGATTGAAAAGTTCTGGCTACACATAATGAGCAATTACTGATTATCATGAACCTGATGGGGGTTTACCACATTACACTGGTTAAATCTTGAGTAGGAGACATGAGAAATCTGACTGCAGTTCATTAAGATAGAATAGCTACATCCGGCTTCTGGTGGTCTAAACTGGACATTGTGCCTCCCACTAGACAATTAACGATCTTTCCCTGCTGTCTCTTTGCTGTCAGAGAAGGAGTGACGACTCTTCCTTTGACGATGAGTTTCTGGTCGCCCTCCTGTTGGACCTTTTTGCTGCCGGAACCGACACCAGCTCCACGACTATCCGGGCGGGCCTGCTGTATCTCATGTTGCACCAAGATGTTCAAGGTCAGTGAGTCACTGCCTGGTCAGGACATCCTGTGGAATGTGGTACATTAACAATGAGACAGAGAAGAAAGTGCTCTTGTGCAAAAATTAAGGGGTAACCAAACTATCTTTATTACGATTGAGTGTTATGCCTCCAATTGTATATTTCTTACAGCATATCTTCTAGCTTGCAGTTGTCGTGTCCCCTGTGTTCTTAACTAGCAAAGACATGACTCAGAGAAATAATTCAGAGTAGCCGGGGGTCTTAGGAACTGACTGCAGACACCCAGCGAAAGGGTTTCTAGCTGACAGCTCTGTCTCTGCTGTCATCAGCTCGGTGCCACCAGGAGATCGACTCAGTGCTTGGGGGGAAGCAGCAGATCTCCTACGATGACAGGCACAGAATGCCCTACACACAGGCCATGATCCACGAAACCCAGCGCTATGCCAGCATTGTCCCTCTCAGTGTTTTCCACGCCACCACCAAGGACACACAGCTGCTGGGCTACAGCATTCCTAAGGTAGGGTGCAATGCATGGTTATCTCCTACATTTCAAGCATGAACTAATGCTTACATGAGGAATTTGCTGCTTTCATATAATCAGTATTAAGAAATATGCTGACCTATGTGGCATGGAAGACCTAAATACAGTAAATAGTTGCCCACAGTTTCTCGAATACTGGATTCATCGCCCTGTAATGTTCTTCGGTCTACCATGAGTACAACAGCCTTGTTTCAGAGAAAATTTATTTCAGCTGAATTTCCATTGGTTTTTCCTCTGCCAAAAGAGTTTTGACTGTTTGATCACAGTCAATGCGTGCATGTTGGAGTTTGGACGTGTGAAGAAGCACATTTGTAAAAACTGTCTGTCTTAATGTTGAATCTTTTCCTCATTTTGCGGTTCCGTTGACCTGACTCAGGACACGATCATCATTCCCAACCTGAGCTCTGTGCTGCACGAGGAAGCCCAGTGGAAGTTCCCTCATGAGTTCAACCCCTCCAACTTCCTGAACGAGGAGGGGGAGCTTGTTAAACCAGAGGCCTTCCTGCCCTTTTCCACAGGTGAGCCCCTCCACCATGAGAGGAAGAATGTAACCTGTGCTGATGTTTAGGTTTGGAGTTTCTCTTTAAATCAGTGCTTACCATCACTAGTATATAACGTTCATGTTTCTCACCTGTCTGCCGGCTGTCTATCTCTAATCAGTTTACCAGTAAGGCAAAGTAACATCACTTGAAGTCTCACGTGTTGCAGAATTCTAAAACAGTGTGCAGTCCTGAGTGATAAACCTGTAAACAGGAGGAACTCTCCTCTGGCAGTGAGAGTTCAGGTGAAAGTCTGTGGTGGAGCACAATTGACCCATAATGCATATCAAGGCTGTGGTTGCCAGGGTGCCAGAGAGTGCCCCTGAGGTCACGCGCTGAGCTGGGCTTCTGTCCCACAGGGCCGCGGGTGTGTCTGGGAGAGGGCCTCGCTCGCATGGAGCTGTTCCTCTTCTTTGTGTCGCTGCTGCGTCGCTTCGAGTTCTTCTGGCCCAAGGACAGTGGAGAGCCGGACCTGGAGCCCCATTTCGGGATTGTCCAGGGGCCTAAGCCCTACAGGCTGGGGCTGAGGCTCAGGGGAAACCAGGGAGGCTGAAGAGCAGGGCCTGGTTCCCCTCACTATGCCCTGTCCACAGGATTGTGCAGCCTGGGGCTCCCTGTTCCTACAGGTTTGAGAACTAGTAGGGTTAGAAATGGGAAATCTTTCTGAAGATAAACATTGTAATAATATAATCATTAATAAAATACAAACACTTTCAGTGGTTCGTATGTACAGCCTAATGCACAAGGCAGCATAGCCTTGCTGTCTCTGGTGTCTGTACAGTGGCAGAAATGCAATTGGATTCTTCAGATTGGTCAGTACTCTGTTACTGTTAAAGGACTGTTTACCTGATTTTGCTAGTGAAATTACAAAACCTTCTTATTCACATTTAATAAATCTCAGATTTACATTTGATGTTTGCATTGTCTTTCTTTCATTGTGCTCTCAATTCATGCTGAACGTGGTCATGCAGTGTGAAGCAGGAATATCCAGTATTTAGGGATATATTGGGATGAAAGGGATTATTTGCAGCCATATGAAGAGGAAAGTACACCCTCTTAAGATTCTATGGTTTCATATATTAAAACATATCTGACCTTCTCTGAAGTCCTCACCACTCCTAACAGAGGATAAATCTAACCTCATGTGACAAATAACACATGCACATTTTACTTTGTCAATAGTCATTAAACAGATATATCAGCCAACATTCAGAGGCCTTGTGTGAAAAAGTAAACATACCCCTTGATTCAGTAACGTGTAGAAAAGCATTAACATGAAGTAAACGCTTCCTTTAAGAGTTTTCAGTCTCTCACATCGCCTGGGAAAAATTCTGGACCACTCTTCCTTACAAAACTGCTTCATCTCGGTGACGTTTGAGGGCATTAATTTATGCACAGCTAATACTATTGTCACAGTTACTGCCATTATTACCTAAAGATGTTAAACCTGTTAGTAATACCAGGAAACATGACCAACTAAGATATATTATTTTATTCTTAATCTGCCCTGTTAATATTCATCATAACCAAGTCCCTCCAAAATAACAGCATTACAGCTGGCATGTTGTTGTTATATAATGATTTGTGTTTCCTCATCTTAACCAGGTGGGGCTGCACATTGGTGGTGGTGGAGGGGATCCCCATTACCTGTAAAGCGCGTTCAGTGGAGTGTCCAGAAAAGCGCTATAGAAGTGTAAGTATTTATTAATTATTATTATTATTAACATATGCTGCCCACTTTCAGAACCTTAAGAAGTGAAGGTTTGGACTTTCACCTGTGCTCCAGGTGTGTTAGTGGTTTGGGTGGCATAACCATTGTGGAAGGGAATCTCTTTCTTCTTTTCAGATGTGCAGAAATGAGTACAATCTAAAGGTTTAGCAGTGAGAGGCAACATTAAAACGCTTTCTATTAGGTTAGCACGAGCTTGAACAGTGTCCGCCTTTATATAAATTGCCATGTTCTGTTTTCATGTGATCTGAGAATCACAGAGCTGAAATCCCTTCATTTTATCTGCTCTAATCTGTCCCCTGATTAACACATGTTCCCTGACTCTAAACACATCTTGAGTGTTTGTGCGTGCATACATCACAGATTGTTTTCATTTTCTTTTGCACTTTTAAAATACTTCTTGGTTTTTCTCTTTTCCTTTATGCTTCGCTCTTCCCCTCGTACTTGTTTCCTTTATTCTGTTTCTGCAAGGTCCTCACAGCTCTAGTCCCAGTAAGGTACATAGTGAAATGATCACGCCGGAGGTGTTCTGTACTTTTCTGTTATTTGAAGAATTCATTCCAGACCTTTTACTTTATTTACCTGATTAATGATAGTGAAACATAATTCTGCAAAGGGATAATTACCATCGTCTATCGAAAGAACCAGCATAGTGTTTATCAGATTAAAAAGGTTGTTATTCTATTTTTTAATGTTGTACTAGAGACCATTGTTCTCCCTTGATTCCTATAACCTAATTCAGCTTGTTACAGAAAGCTGCCAAACCATTGAAAGTTGAAGAGAGAAAAAGTTGAATGCGCGATATCAATAGCCAGCCATGTAGAAGGAGGAGCTCATGTCCCCTTAAATACCAGGGTACAGAGTGCAGTGGAATAACAAACAGCCACAATGGGCACCGTGTTTCTGCTCTGGATTGGAGTCTTCCTCCTCTTCTTCCTTTGGAAGACCAGGAGGCCAAAGAGCTTCCCTCCTGGTCCTCAGCCTCTTCCTATATTTGGGAATCTGCTGCAGCTGAACCTCAAAAATCCCATGAAAGACTTTGAAAAGGTGAGAGAAAAACCCAGACTAAAAGTGCGAATTCTTAGTCTAAAACTGCAGAAATACTGCAGGGAGAGGGTTTCTCTGAGTGGATCTAATTGTGCAC